GGGGGGGAGTTGAGGTCTCAGGGGTATGATGAATTAAGCCTTCGGTTCCATATAGCTTGACATCACGGTGGGGACGATTTTCATTTATTCCCGTCTCAAATCCTCTCTAAATCAGACAAGGGTGTTTACTGCGCCTGCATTGCATAGTACGATGAAATTCTATTTTAGGCCTGCTCAGCTCACTTTCTGGCGTGGGCTGCTTCCGGAGTTGCTGTGGCTGTGATTACTTTGGGATAATCTTCCTCGGCCGAACTAGCCGATCGTCTTGGAACTTTGTTTGGATAGGATTTCGCCTTCATTACTTCGTATACATTTTCGCGTCTTTTATCACAGCCGCTTATCTGACTTTTTCTCTCATACATGAAGGTATTGACGCATAGGGTGTGTATGCAATGGAGAAAGTACAGCAAGATCAGCCATACAAAATGGCTTCGAAAGTTTTGCACTCGTTCTGCTTCCAACCTCACAGACATGCGTTGATCGAGACGAAGAGACGACCGAAAAGTCAATGCCAGATTTTAAGTCAGTGAAAAACGTGTCTGCGGTTTGGCCACATTTAGAACCCTTTCATTTCACCTTAACAATCCAAGTTCTCACCACCAACCTGTGGATACAGGACCCATAAACTTGAATCTGCCGATATCGAAATACAAATTGACAAATTTGCTGAAGCCCGTCATTATGATGAATTACAATCATATTTCAATTGTTATTAGCTATCGGTTGCTAAAACTGCTAAAGCTGTTTGCAGGTAATAGGAAGTTTGATCAGACGTCTGGTAGTAAATTCCCCTGTAAGTAAGTATTACCTGACGATTAAGCGAGCCCATTGTTAGCCTTTAGTACTTAGCATATTAATTTGTACTGGTTGTATACAGCACTTTTAATTTTTCGGTTTACCTGTCCAATTGCCAATTCCTAACGCATAACAATAAGAAACAATGACACTGGATGTGTCACTACAGAGAAAAACTTAACATAGGACTTCGTAAATTAACCTTACCGTAAACCGAAGGAAGATTTCCTTGCAGCTGTGACTTTTGATTTGGACAAATAAACTCTCAGCGCAATTTCTTATGACTCCGGAGGAGGGCCATGCAGAGTTTTCCTCTATTCTTCCCTGATAGGTATCGCCATTGCCCAACAACCCTCACGCAACCCCAAGCCGATAAAATAGGGGCCAACGGCAATGTTATCTACTTCTTTTAACATAATTTGATAACTTAATGTGACATCGCTTTATTTGTAAGCTGTTTCCTTCTTCGTCATTAAAGTGTGCTATTAAGAATGAGGCTAACGTAGATGTGACCGAACATATTTTTGATTGACAAACTCCTATGCATTTGGATCATTTAATGAGCCACGAGTTCATTGAGCCGTTACAGCTCTGATTAGACACAAGTTGTTAATCTTAGTGAATATTTTTTCCCTGCTAACATTTTCCTTAGCCTTTTTATTCCCTGGGTTCGATCATTTACATATACTCTACAAAGAAAAGTTGGGTTTCGAGAAGCCTTTTAGCTCACAAGTATTGAATTCACTTGGTATCTCGAGTGAAAGTGTATGGCGAAAAGATGCGAAGATCGACCCCACCAGAAAACGATGGTGGATTCATCTTGGCTGGCTGTCGGTTGGCTTTACTGAATTAATCAGAATAGGGCTGTCACCGAGACAATCTGCATCGTTTTCAATAAAAACGTGCTAAGCTTTCACACAGTGAAAAGGCTTTTAAACTATCAGTAAATCATGAATAAGAGCTGTATTCATAGTGATGAACGTTTTTTGTCTAAAATTATATGAACAGACCCTATTATGCCATTAAATGTCGCCTCAACTTCTCTCTAAAAAGGTACTCTCATTCCAACTTGATTGGATTGCAGTTTTGATCTCGCTTGGATCTCATCAGCGCCCCTAACGGGAATATAACCCGGATAGTTGAGTGTATAAACTCAACACGAAACCTCTAGTCGATTATAATAGAAAATAAACGTTTGCTTCATCGACAACTTGATTATAAAGAAAATGTAATATGGGCAATGATTGACTTGCCTATAAATTCATTAATCCAATGGCGCCTGTTGCAGTGTGGCGTAGAGGTGAGATGTTAAAAGTATCCGCTACACTACGCGGGTTCCATTTCCGTTGTGGATGTTGATAAGATTGAAACTGCAGACCAGTCCATTTGGTCAAATAATGCGTTTTGGAAGGCAAGGCTAATTAGAATTCAGTGATATTGTGAAGAGTATTTCCATGGAAGATATGAAGACCAGGATGTGGTGGCATTCTGTGTGGTCGCGGTATCCTTTCGTTGTATAGAAGTTGTTTGACCTAGTTTTCCCAACTTGGTCATATCGGCACCTTGTCCGGAGTCCATTGTATACATGATCATTACCAGAGTCGGACCGTGGACTTGGTACATTTACAGATGGTTAGCCGGCATCTTTAGTAAGCCTTGGCAGTCTTAGCAACACACTACAACTTGTCAAAGAGACAAATGAAGCCGATCCCCTAACCAATTGTCTGCTAAACAGTTGTGGTATCTCTCCTTCTGTCCTATATCCTCGCATCAACACTTCAATATCACACTTTCTTACTTGTTTATCTAAACCTATTTAAAACCTATTCACACTATCCGCTAGCTTCCATATCACTCCCATTGTGCCGGGAGTGTTGGTCCAAAGCTGCGGTTTAATCCGCAATCCTCTCCCTTCGGGTCCTATCAAAGTCTTCTCTTGCTCCGCAGGATCCTTCCGTTATCTGCCTGTTTCAGTGATTTCACGCCATCACTGCCACCGTATCCATGCTACTCAATGCGTTATTTTCTACACTCTGCCTCAAGCCTTTGATAACGCGTAAACACCAGCTTTACTGAGCAAGGGGTGATAAAGAGCAGATTTCAACTAGGATTTTATGGAAATAAGATCAGAAATCGGGAGGACGACAAAAGTGGATATGCCCGCCTTCATGTGAGTTGAGCCAGAAATTGCTATCGCTGCTAAGAAAATTGAATATCAAGGTGATTAAAAAATAAAAGACAACACTCTTCACGAGAAATTTGATAAACTGGATTGCTCGGGAGTCTATAGCATCACATGCGGCAACTGTGAGCAGAAATATAT